CTCTTCCTTAATAAAAGAAAGCACTACAGAACAACCAGCAGATTTATCAAGAAAATCCAGCACTGCACCCAGCGAACGGGTGAACAGGTTCTAGTCTGGACTTGCTTCTAAGGAACTGGGTGTCTGCAGACAGCCACTTGGCCTCTCTGGACTTCTCCACAAGTAACTGGAAAGGAACGGCTCAGAGAGCTGTAACATTTTCTCTGGCTCTGATGTTTGGATTCAGTTTTAAGGCCAGCGACTGAAATACATGATTAATCCACTAGAGGGAGGAACAAATGGTTTACTACTAATAGAATTTTTAAAGGTCATTTAACACTTAAAAATAGCTAAAGACCCAGCTCCACGTGCATTTACAGGATAGTGGTCTGATTTCCATTGTTCCTCGTACCTCTTCCCAAGCGTAGGATTTTAATGGAAAATAGCCTAAAACAGTTAAAATTTGATGTTATTAAAATATTTAAAAAAATTTTTTAAATTTATTTTAAAATGGGGGGATTAAGTTTAATTATTTATTTATTTCAACGGAGAGACTGGGGACTGAACCCAGGACCTCGTGCGTGCAAAGTGTACACTCTATCACTGAGCTACACCCTCCCCCACATGAAAACATTTCTGAAAAAAAACAGTAGCACTCATGTTTTCTGGAAGAAACACGTGAATAAAAATGGAACTCCTTAATAATGGGTTTCAGGTCACCCACTGTGCAGTGATAAGCTGTATAAAAGCAGGTGTCAGAAGAGCTACAAGACGTCCCAGATAAGACACGACAATGACCGCAGAGTGTGGTGAGTAAGGGACTGGGAGCCAGGTCTGAACTGTGCTATTTGTCCAGTTCTACTAGCTTCTTCTCTGATTCCTTAAAATATAAAGTGAATTCTTGCTGAAGGGCTTCTAAAATGTGCACTTCTGGCAGCCCTGGTAGATTACACACAGACACAAACTCCACGGGCTGAAGTCATGATTACAGGGGAGACACAGCAGAGGGTGCCTGAGATTCACAGAGGATGCAAAATGCCTCATATTCAACTGACTATTTATGATTTTAACTTTACTTATGAAATGTACACTTAAGATTTTCATGTTTATCACGTCTACATAAGTATCTTAAGAATTAATAAGTTCTTAGGCAAGAACAATGCTATTTAAAAATGAGCTGAAATTAAGGTGACCTCAAGGGCTTTTACAGGTCACTGTAATAATTCTAATTTGCAATGAAAATTCAAACAAGAGGTTAAGAAGTGTTTAGACACCATATCGAAGCAGGCTTATTCATCAGCAAAATGTTTTAAGAAAATTATTCGGAGTGACGAGTTTGTTACAAAAATATGAAAAGATAGCATAACTCACTTTTCCATCCTTAGATGTGCCTGCGACTTGTCCTGTGGCTATTGTGATCCTATCAGGATGAACTGCAAGGCTAAGAAAAAATATTGATAAAACATCTACTTAAAGGTAAGCTTTACTTTCCTCCTGATCAAATATAATCTGGTCAAAACTTTAAATGTAAGAAATATACAGTGCCTAACTTCTTACAGACTCATGACAAATTCTCTGAGCACCCCAATGACCTTGGGCATTAGCGCCTATTTCATTTTATCTTAATTCCTTTATCTTTGGAGAATTTTCAAACTCAAGGAAAAAGCATCCTCTGCTTGAGAAATGCCACTTCAATCTCAGAACCACTTAATCAGCATACAATCCTTATTAAGAAGTCATTTTGCATGTATCAGACAGCAAAGGCATTCTCTTTTCCCAACAGGAGTTTTGTAACTGACCAGGGACTGAGGACACATGAATCCACCTATTCATCCATCCATCTCTCCAAGATACATAAAATTGCTACCAAAAGTGTAAATGAACCACGAGGATAGCAGACCTGGCCACAAACATGAAAACGGAACACTTTTATTAAGAAATAACGACCCAAATTAGAAGCCATTAGCACAGGACGTACTAAGAACGTCTCCAGATTGGGGCCTGTTAGAGGTATCTGTGTAGGTAACATGGTTGGTTAGGATGATGTGTTATAAACACAGAAAACTTTCCATTGCCTTGGAGAACCAGGTAGCTCGCAGACAACCCAGAACACAGAGAAGAACTCCCAAAGGTCGGACTTTCTTCCATCCCTGTCCTCTTTAGTGGCATCCTGTTACTGAACTCTTTCTGCTAATGCTCTTTCCACACGTGGCACGGGAATCAGTTTTGAGGGCTTACCACTTCACGTCATCATTATGGCCGGCGTAATGCCTCTGCAGCTGTTCCTCCACGTTGTACAGCACGACCACCGACGCGATGAAATAGACCGTCTCGCCCGTCGGAAGCAAGTACAGGTTATTACGGCAGTCTCGACCCCTGTACCCGTAGCTTCGCGTATGTCAAGATAAAACCTTTTTTTTCTTTAAGAGTTAACAAAACATCAACTTTATACAACCGGCACAGGCAATCAAATTCTACAGGACTATTACCATCACGTCCACTAATTTAAAGACTAAACTGTAAAGGCTCAGTGCCAAATATATCCGACCCCCTAAAAGAGGCAGGCAGTGAAGTTGGAAACGGTCACTGATTTAATGTGAATACATATTTTTAACAATACAAAGGTGTGGTTTTATGTTTAGAAAGTATGTGTTATCTTATGAAAGCTGAATTTTTTGGTTAAAAACGGCCATCTGTGGTTTTATTTACTAACAGTAACTGGATCAGACATCTCTGAGCTGACCAGGAAGTGAATGAACTCTTTTCACTTTACTCAGTCAATCATGGATCTGGGAATCAACAGCTAAGGGCCAAATTTCTCAGCTGAACTGTTGAAAGTTTACGTGGATGCCCGGTTCCCTACCTAGCCTGCCTTTAAGTATCTCCCCAGCCCGGTCTTGTGAAAGGCTGACGACCACAACACTCTGCTAAGCGGGCCTCTAGAATTAAAACCGCCTAAAGTTGTGCTTTGGCACTAGCTGCACAGGAATGCTGGGATATTCTGCTCAGCTTTTTTCTCTTTCCTATTTACTGTCTCTCTTGTGTACCATTTCTTTCTATTTTTTTCTTTTCTTTTTTCAGTGGAGGTACTGGGAATTGAACCCAAGACCTTCTGCGTGCTAAGCATGCGCCCTCCCACTGAGGCCTCCTCTACTCCGTGCCATTTCTTTCTGGCTATCACACTGGCGGCTGAGATCTCCTGAACTGCATACAGGTGGTGGTCTATCGTGTGTTCACATGCCCTCTTGAATCTCTGACCTTTCACAAGAGAGGGCTTGACTCTGGGGACTGGAATTAGACGGAGCAACAGGGCTTTACTGCCTGTCATCTTTCAGCCCCGAGACACGCCCTCACAATACAGGGCCTGGGCTGCCATCACTGTACGGCTTAAGGAGAGAGACTCAGTCTGGTTCTAGAATCACGATCGGGAGATTAGCTGAATCCCTATTATAGCTGGTGGCTTTTGTAGCCTGTTTGGAAAACAAAATATATTTGACGACATTACATGACTATATTGTTTCAAATATTAAGCAGCCTAAGGTTATAAATCTCATTCTGAGAAAAAAACTTTGAGTCTTGATGTTCCTTATATTTTGAAGTATTTAAAAAGAAATGTAAAGATATTAATAATTGACTTTCATACATCTCAGTTATAAGTCAATTATGAGCTTGATTTATTGTAACCTTGGAGCTAAATCTTTTACTTAACATATTTTTCTACATTATAAAAATACTCATAAAAGATGCAAACTACATACACATACACATATATATCAATAAAAGGTAAAAAAAAATTAGGTTTTCCTTGCCCCAACCATTCCCAGCTCCTTGGGGATAATTACCTGTTAAGATTTTAGCATGTATACTTCCGAACTGTGAAAACTGATTCAGAGCAAAACATCACTTGAATCTGGGTATGAAAAACAACCATTTATTTGGAGCAAATTCCACTGTTTACATCTTCTAAAATATGAGTAGGGGTAGGCTGAATAAGTGTGTTTTGAATAGTGTGTTCCAGATTTAATTAAACCAATTTAAACAATTATTAAAGAAATGAATCACTTCAATTACTTGTGTCAAAATAGATTCCAAAATGGATGCAGGTAAATGCTTATGACATCAGAATCTGAAAAAAAATTTTAAATGTATAAATTTGGGGGTGGAAATTTAGGTACAGAGATAATTCTAAAAAAACTTCCAAAGAATATGATTTCATAATTTCAAATAGTCATTCTTCAAACTGAAATGACAGCAGCTTCAATTTAAACCAACTTCTTATAATTTGTGCTCAGGGCTCTGCATTAAACTGGCACTCAATAAATACTTGAGGGTGAAGAAAGGATTTTTGCTCTTTGTCTTAAAGTCCACATGGACTAGAAGGTGGCCTCTGCGGGCACCTAAAGTAAAATAAAACAGTAAAATAAAGTAAAAGTGAAAAACAAGTACCGTAAAATAAAACAAAAAACCAGAACTTAATTCACCCTCTTTCACAGGCTCTATTTTCTTGCCTTTCAATTTATTCTCCTCGGAAGCTCATTCACTTTCCCAAACCTCATGCCACAAAGGCTCCAGCAACCTTTTGTCAAAACTGCTAAAAAAAAAAAAAAAAAAAGAATGCTAGTCACAAGGTTGACTCCGATTTTTGTGGCCTTGATTTTGGGGGAGCTGCTTCTTTTTTGTTTTTTTAAAGCAGTAGTATGTCTACGCCGTATGTGCATTTAATTTAAGCCATTGTGTTCCTTTCACTCAGCACTGCGTTCATCCTCACGTCCCTCCTTCAGTGAGTGAGTGTTCATCCTGAAGTCAGGCTCCCCGGGTTGGCCAAGTCCCTGTGTGGGGGAGGGGGAAGCCTAGCCCTTCCTGCCAGGGCCTCCCTCTATCTTCCTTTGGGTTTAAGAACGTTTTGCCAGCACGGCTGAGTTTTACGAACTTCAGCAAAGGCATTCATCGACTGACTGCTCGGTGTAAGACAATCCATGGATAAAGGATACACCCATTCCAGCTTAAGTCTCCTGGTTGGCAGTTCTACTTTTGCTTCCAAGTTGTAAGAGTCCACTTGCTCTTTGGGCATGTACATGGTAACCGGGCGTCCGCGAAGGAACATTTTTACGTATCCTTCTTCTATGAAAAGAACACAGACGTCAGTAAGACACCTCAGCGCCAGGGTACCTGGGAAAAAAGTTAGCCTCTAGCCTTTCAATACGAAAGTGAAAACTTTTGCCCTGTATAGCATTTCTGGTTAAAGTCCCACGGAAAACTAACTAAAACACAAAGAACAGTTTGAAACAAAAATTCCATCTTGTTTGCTTTTGACATTCTGCTTATGTAAGTGCATGAAAAATGTAAGAAATAGTAAAAAGCAGGAAGAACTAGATTCCATCAATAATTTTCCAGGAGAGACTTTAGTGCTTACATTTTCTTTATCTTCAGGAGGGGGAAAAATGCCACCCCAAGAAATTAACAGCTAACACAAAAAATCCACTTACATTTTTTATTGAGTTCACTGTATATACAATTTCAGTATCAAAATTCATAAAATATCTTTCAATATTTAAATTAGTTTGTTATATCACAATGTAAAATGTGTCTTTGTGTATCTTTTACATTGGACAATTTTTTTCAAGTGTAAAGAACACAAAATCAGCAGCAGTCCATGCTAGGATGCATGCAAAAGGGAAAATGCTCAAAGAAAAGCTAGAAACGGAAAACAAAAGAACAAAAGACCCATTAGAGAGAGAAACAGGGAAATAAACCTTTCGAGAACAAACATTTTTATAACAGAATAACTTCTGATGTTTTAGTAAATTATAGGGATAAAGGTTAAACCCAATAATATAGTGACCTGGGGCCACTCCTGGACTTTTAAAAATAAACAACTTAGGGCTTTCTGGCTACAGTTTTAGGATATAATAAGACCAAAGAAAATGTCTTCTGAGCTCTGATGAATTCTGCTCTGATTCAGAACTCACTGCATTTTGATGCTTCACTGCAGATCAAAGGACTGGGTCTTAATGGCATTTAAATTGGGCAGTTGGGACCAGGGATATCTGTACATAACTCAACAGAAAAATCATCCGTAGAGAGGAAATTGGTGAGGAAGTCATAAAATAATTACAGTACCATAAGCAGCACATTTTCAAATTAGTTTTCAAGACTCATTCCTAGGGATTTTCAAACAATGCCGCATGCAATGTTGTCTAAAAATTGAGAGGCCATCCCAGTTTTATGCTATTGTGTGCGTGCAAATCAAGTCTGAAATGCATGCACGTGATACACACTTCACTCTGCACGTTAAGTTTGACTTTTAAGTAAAAAGCAACACACACTCACTCCTGCACACAGTGTGACAGGCACTGTGTTCTACGATCCCCCGTCAGAATGACTGTCACTGGGACCTGCCCCCAGCACTGAAGGTGTTCTTATTGCCCCACTAGGGCACCTCACACAGTGCTGCCAAACCCATCCTTCCTCCAGGCAGATCTTGCAGGATCCAAAGCTCTCACTGCCCTGCCCCACTTTCCCCCTGAGAGACCTTCACTGACCACTGGGAACACCCACCCACATGGCTCCTCCTCTCTCTCCGCCACCTACACAGCTACCCTGGCTCTGTGCCTCTCCCCATGCTCTTCTCCTCGCCTGACCTCTTCCTTCCTTAATCCTTCACCCAAGTCTCAGCTCATCAGATGCTGTGGCTAACCACAACTGAAACCCCTAAAAGCACCAGCAGACCAACAGAAGAGGGGCAGAGAGGGGCAGGGGTGACAGCTTGAAGTTACATGACAAGTGATTCCATGAATTCTCTTTGACTGAGGAATCACAGACGCAGATCCAGAAGAAAGAGGACATGACGCCATCCCACACCACACACAACAAGCCGAGTGCGGGTGTGTGTAACGAACGCCCGTGATTGCTCTGCTTGAGTACTGCTGTCACGTGCTGGTTAGGACGCCCTTGGGATTGAGGTTCACTGTGCGGTTCTAAAGCACAGGACTCGGCAAAAAACCAAAACCAAAACCCAAAAAACCCCAACAACAACAACAACAAAGGAACCCCAAACGCTGGAATTAGTCTTGGCCCTATCTTGTCATTCTACATCTAAATTCTAAACTCAGCAAGGGAAAGCAACTAAAAAAAATTGTTTTTCCAGGCGTGTTAGGATAGCAGCACACAACCACCAAACCCCAAGGTGCTAGGGGGGGAGGCCAGCAGCAGTGCAGGGCGCACACAGTGGGGCATCCCGGGGCTGCCCTATAGCTCTCTTGAGGTTTATACAGATTTTAACAAGAGTTCCTGTAATCAGCCAATAAGCAATCAAGATCCAATTACAGCTCCTTATTAAAACCCATCCAAGTAAATGCTAAGGGATGATTTTAACTTCAAATAAATCAAAGTGGGTTGCATCACATTTTCATACAAGGAGGGGATCCGCTAGCCTGTATGAAGAGTTTCTGCAGCCTGGGTCACCGCTTGGCTCAGAGAGCTATGAGGTTTCAGAAATGCCGCCTACCTTTGCAGTGTGTCACCCGGCGCTTCCCTTGAGATTTCGGAGACAGAGACAGAAGTGCTATAAAGAGATGGGGGGGTAGGCACTGCAAGAGTGACCGGCCTGCTTGCCCGGGAGCACTCATGAGCCTCCATCGGGGATGCTCCCCTGCCCCCTGGCAGAAAAACCTGGACACATTTCAGGGATTCTGATAAATGCACTCGAGACCTAGCTCTGCCGGTTAATGATGATCACATTTTCAGTAGGTACATTTCATGCTTCCTGAAAATGAAATGAATCCTCAAGTACACGCTGATCAATATGCAAGTCTGATTTTCATGTTTCAAGTCTGAATTTAAGGGGAAAAGCTTGCAAAATTAAATGGATTTATTTAGCCAATTACACACCTGTCACTGATGCTGCCTTCTACCTACGCTCTCAAATAAGGTTGCTACGCTAAAAATAGCATCCACCTGATTATAAAATGTGTTAGAAAAGATATATGGAAAGGTACCTATGAACTATTAGTGTGCAGTTTAGGAAACCAAAGGCAGAAAAAGAGAAAAAGCTACTTTTTAGACAAAGTTCTACTCTGATGCATCAGAAACTTCCCCTTTCAGAGAAAAGCAAGTGCTCATAACCAGAGTCCCACCAGTAAGGAAGGAGGAACAAAGGCAAGGAGTCTTTCACCCTAGAAATTTCACTTCAGTGTAACGGCATTGCACTCTTCCTCTTTACTGATGTCGCTTAAATGGGTTCTAAAGGGGTAAGTAAAGGCTTTAGTCTCCATGACCACTTCATGGGCGGTCTCTGACGTGAGCCTCCAGACCCCCAGGCGCAGGCTGGCGGGGAGCTCTCAGCCCGCCGGCCCTGCACTGACACCCGTTCTCCCAGCCCAAGTGGCCCCTGAACAACTACTTCTTATTGTCTCTCAAGGTCGGAGGTGAGTGAAGGGCAGCAACACTCCATCAGCCTTACCTGCGCTGAAGACTGGCTCCTTGGGTTTGCTGTGGGGGCAAAACAAAAACAGTTTTTAAAAGGAGGCTGGGGGTGGGGGTTCATCTCTTTCCCAGAAGACCCCACGCCCACCAGCTGCAGTAGTTGGTCACACAGATGCCGCAGGAATGATATGTGCTAAAGAGAAGAACAAAACCACAGAACCACAAAAAGGAACAGCCTAAACAAAACATGTCCAAAACCAGGTGCCAGAGACTGCAGTCCCAGCTTTATCACCAAAGCTGGGCTTTTTTTTTTTTTTTTAATGAGAGCAAATAAAGATTTGGAGAAAGAAAATACTTGGTTAATCAAGACGGGAGCAGCCCTGTCTAAATGTGTAAAAAAGATTTGTTTTTCTTTCCCAAGCTTTTTTGGTAGATTTTTTTTGAAGAACTTATTTGAAACTGGCAAACTCCTGTCACAGGGGCTTCTGGGTGAGAACTTCCAGAGCCCAGCTCCCAGCAGGAACGGCTACCTTGGGGATGTCGAGGGGGCGGGAGGAAGGAGGAAGGAATAAGGGCTATTGGGGTGTGGTCATATCCTGGGACGTGGTGGGGACCCCACTGTGGGCCTCAGCCAGGCTGAGTCCCTGCCTGACTGCCCCTGGGAAACCAGACCCCCACAGCACTCAAGGTCACACCACGGAGGGATGGAGGTCACCCCGGGGGCAAGCTCCCCATGTGCCTGAACGGGGTGTCCCACGTGGAGGCAAGCACAGCCCTCCCTGTGACAACCTGACAACCAACTGCCAGTGGGAAGGTTGTCACCTCTGTGCCAGGCAAGGGGAGGGACGCTCAGGCAGGGCAGGAAGTGTGTTCAAACACAGAGCCCGTGATTGAACCCTTAGACATCCACACCATCTTCCACTGTACCCCCACTGTCCAGAACACCTCCAGCTCAAAGATACAGAACACGACACACTGAGTAAATGAAACCCACCCCAAAGAGGGCTGGGAGGGCGTCAGCCCGCAGAGGCGCCTACATTTTCGTGCGTGCATATTTAAAAATACATACCTGCAGATATCACCCTAATGTTACTTTTCGCCTTCATTTTTTTAACTTGAAATACATTAAGAAACTCTACCAGTAAAAGCTACCCTTAATCCCACGATGTAATAAATGATATTACTTATTAACGTCCTTGATTTTTGGATGATCTTATGCAGTCCGTGGCTGGAAGCTCTTTCCTGATGCTTGAAAAGTGTTTTCCCATGTTTCACAAAGGTGGGTCTGCTACGGGCTTAGACGGCTGACTGCTCACCACTGGTCACGGAAAGCAGTGCTCTAGGGGCGGGTGCAGCTCCGTGTGGAGCACATGCCCGGCAGGCATGAGGTCCTGGGCTCAGTCCCCAGTGCGCCCATCAAAATAACTAACCAAATAAATACACCTGATTACCCCCGCCAAACACAACCCAAAAAACCAACCCAAACAAAATAAATACAATATTTTTTAAAAAGAAAAGGAAAGCAGTGCTCTCTAATCCCAGCACGCCTTCTAGCATAAACACCTGTCTTACATGGGCCCCAACGGCCCTAACCCACGTCCACGGACCTGGCTGTTTCTCTGACTTCATCTCCCTCTCTCTACCCTCAAGTTGCGGAGTTCCGGCCAGTCTGTCCCTGCGGTCCCTTGACCAGGCCGGTGGCCCGAGTCAGGCATGGGCCTTGAGGATGGCACACAGCTGGGTCTGGGCTCAGAGCCGCCCTGGGAGGCCTTCTCCGACGCTCCACTCTGCCGGCTCCCCGGGCCCTGGTCCCCATGCCCCACCTGGCTTACCTTCCTCTTTCGTTCTCTCTCTCCCCATTAGGAGGGCAGATCTTTGTTCATGGCCTGGAAGCTGGTAAGGTCTGGCACCCTTCCTGCCTCTGGCTTGGGCAGGCCCTGTGGATCTGCCTGGGCAGGTGGGCTGAGGGCCGTCTCTGCAGCCCTGCCTCCCTCTGCGGTTGATGCGGCTGCCAAGTGCTTGGGGTCTCCTCCTGTTCTCCTGGCCAGTCCTCAGCTTTTGCTGAGCATCCCAGGGCCTCTCTCAGCTTCCCAGTCCCTCCTTGGTACCCAAGCAAGGCCCGGTGTGGAGAACTCCTCCCAGTCCTTCTGCTGGGCCCTCAGCAAGTGCTGTGCTTGGGCTGCAGAGAGGTGGCTTCAGGACTCCCATCTTGCTCCCAGTCTTCGCGGAAAAAAAGGTGCGCGTGTGAAGGTTCCTGTGTGCCTGGGGCTCCCAAGAGCTCTAGACCACTGTGCCAGCCCACACGCGGCCTCTCAGGATTCCATGAGCTTCCAGCTACTTTCTTCTTCTTATTCCCACTCCTCCTCTCCCTGCAGCTCTGCCAAAGATGACAGCAGCCTCTCCTGAGGGGCTTGTCACGTTGGGGGTCTTGGTTCATCATGTTACTTGGTGACCTTGGCTTCACGGTGGGCATACCTGACTTGTTCTCACTGTTGGGGGAGTGACACTTGTGGGTTTTTTTTTTTTTTTGAGAGCGGAGGCACAAGTCTTAACTCCAAATTTTGTCTCCTTATTAGATTCACAGGCAGGTCAAGGACACAAGAGGAAAGAGCTGAAATAGAAGACTACGGAGCAAATCCACCAGTTAGGGAAGCCAGGCAGGAAATTAACTAGAGGACAGGAAAGCTACTTTTTCCATCACGACTTTGATCACAAAAAGCAGAAAGATGCCAAATCCATGAGCACAGAAATAAGCAATCCAGAACCTTCCCTGGAGACAGAAAAGGCCAATTATGGATCGTGTTCCTCTTAGAAAGAGGACACCCGCACGGGAATGTGAACTCCAAATACAGGGAGGCCAGTGGAATTTCGGTGCTAAAGTACCACCGGAGGACAGACGACGATTTCTGTTAAAAGATCAGAGAGCGGCAGTCTGAGTGTCAGCAGCCGAAGGTCACTGAGCGGTACCCGGTACTGAAGCACTCATCGTTCCTTAAACCTTGCTCTGAACTATGCGTTACTTTTTGAGTATATTGTAATTAGAAAACATACTCCCCCTATGTTTCATTATTTTAGACAGTTACATTTTTATAGAAAAATATACTGTGTTTACTTTAGAATCCATGATCCCAGCCAAAGCACCGCCATCCTGAAAGGTGAGAGGCGTGCCTGGAAAGGATATTATTCCAGGCACACGAGCATGTGTCATAAATACAAACCTATAAAATGGTAATGAACCTTCCCAACTACTGATAGGAGGAGAAACCCACAGAACATGTGATGACAATGATCCGACGGTAAAGACGCTGCAGCCCCAGGTCAGAACCAGTTAACGGGAGCAACACGCCAGTCACCTGTCTGTTCTTGAACTCACCTGTCAACAGGGCTACGAGTGGGTCCTTCAGACCCAGCACATGGGAACCATGCTCTGGCTGTGGAGTCACTTGGAATGAGACATGATAGCCTCTCAAGGTATTGTGTAATTTGTCTGTGATCATCCATTCCTTCATGTGAGCTAAATGGAAAACTTAAGCGGGTGACTTCACACTGTCTCCACCGCCAGGGTGTGGAGGAAGGGAGGTGGGGGTGGATAAACACTGGAACTAGAACGGGGCTTCATTCACCCCTATCCGAGGATGGAGTCAGTGCAAATGTCCCCCACCATCCCCTAAAGCCCAGGACGGAAGTCAGGCCAGAGGACAGAAAGGATTTCCCTTCTGGCAAGCAAACCCTCACCTCTTGGCTATTCCGACACCAGGCTGCTGTGGCCAACATCTCCGAAAGGAACAGTGCTGCAATCCGGTGTGGTTTTTTACTGCTCTGTTTTGGCAGAAAGGAGATTTGCTGAAAGAGCTTGGCTGCACATGCCCTTGAGCTGGGTGGTTCGGGAGACTATGCGAAGGGCTCTGACTATGAGCAGTGCCTGGGGGCTCACGGAGGAGGCAAGGCAGCCTGGAGCCTTCACCAGACTGGCAGCTGGATCTGGAGGCCGTGGGAGAAAACCCGGCAGTTGGCCCAGGGAAGATCCCCCACCCGGCGCTGTGAGCTCACACCCACAAAGCAGCTATAAACGCCCAAGTCGCGTGCTAGCAAATCCTCGAAAATGTTCACTGTGCACTTTGGGCGTGGGGGCTGTCACAAGTGGCTGTTTCCATTCCTCTGATATAACTCGTGGTGGCTGCACTGCAAACGGTGTTTATAAGCAGGAGAGTCCAGCCAAGACCTCATTCAGACTTGGATGCAACGAGTAATCACTGCCCGCCTCTGTGGTGGGGTCCTCGCCTAGAACAATCGTATCTGTTACTAAATGACCCCGAGGTCCTGAAAGCAGGTCTCTGACACGTGGGTGACCCATGTAACAGGGAGCTGGGAGAGACAAGGATGAAGGCAGACTGATGGGGCCAAAGGCTTCTGAGCAGAGATGCTTGCTTTGGAAAATGATGAATAAAACTGGAGCAAGGAGGAGGCTGTTTCAAACACATATTTTCCCCCTGCAACTTACTCATCTATAAAAATCCACGCCCCTCGGCACACATACCATGACTCTTCCGAAAATGACATCACTTCATGAAATATAATCCCTGCTGGAAGCCAAAATACTCTGCTATGTAAATAATGATTCTTTTTATAAATTGTCCTTAAGTAAGCAGCTTTTAACTAGAAGTAGGGTCATTTAAAATCCATCCATTTAAAATGTTTAGAAGTCACTGGAGACTACTGGGGACAAAAACTACTGTTTCATAGACATTTCCAGCTGACACTTGCAGCTTAACACAGCAGAAGGAGCACAGGTTTTGAAGTCAGCCGGATCTGCATTCCTGTGGAGCAAATCACTTCACCTCCATGAACCTCAGTTTTCTTCATCTACAAAATGGGAATAACACTGCTGAGGCACAGGGTACCGGCAGGATTAAATATAATGTGTAACAAAGTGCCCAAGACATGGTTATTAATTAAAGTGATTTCCCTCTTCCTCCTAATTTCACTGACAAAAACCTACATACATTTCTAGGCTCCTCACCTAACAGCCTCAAAACTAAAACAACACAAAGACTATCAGCACTTATTATTTTAACATTTGTTAAAAACTAAATGACCCCTTGGCTTAAAGAGTGAAACAATCTTTTAGTTAAAAAAAACAAACAAACTTAATTTAAGTCACTTAATTTCCACTGCAAATGTTTCAGAATCTAAAATGCAGTGTTAAAACCATCTACCAATAGGTGGTGCTATTTGCATAGTTCTTCAATGACTATGGTTTTTTTTTTAATTAAGTATATACGTAATATCATTGTCATCCACTCAACGGATATTTATTGAGCAGTTACTGTGTGCCAGGCCAGTGCAAAGTTCTAGGAATGCAAAGAAGGAAAACTGACACAGCTCCGTCCTCCCAAAGCTTAAGTGGGGTGGGGTGGGGGGTGCGATGAGTGGGCCCCCAGAGGGTGGGGAGGGAGTTGCAGTTCCAGATAAAGTTAATGGGTGTGTACAAAGCAATCTGAAAAGCAGCTAACTCAGACCAGGGGGCTAGGGCAGGCTTCCCAGAGAAAGGGGCATCCCAGGCTGGGTCTTGAAGGATGAGCTGGAGCTCTCCTCCTGCTGCCAAGTTTCCAGACACATACACATGTCACTTAGGACCAGGGAAAACCCTCCACTTCCTAGGTGCTAGAAGGCGTAATTCATCAGCTGTATGTTTGTTTGTTTGTTTGGGGTATCTGTTTCATGTTGTAATATAATAAAAAGATTTTTCTACATATGCTGTCTTCTTTCTTAGATTTGTGTTTCTTTAATGGAGACTGAGTTTGCACATCTTTTTCTTAGTTGTGTTTCTCTCCCCGTGAACTGCCTCTGCTCAAGCCGTTCACGAACTTTCTGATTGAGCTGGCTCTTTTCCCTCACAGGTGTGTTGTGTTCTTAGGAAATGAAAGACACTGGCCCTTTTCAGTTGTATGTGTCACTCGTGTTTGTTGAGAGAATGAGTCTTTGTGGGCTGCTCCTTTCCACGTCCCACCATGCCTTATGCCGTGTCCTGCACAGAGTAGGTGCTCAGTGAGTCACACCGTGCTGGGAAAGTGAATGAGTAAGGAGACAGAAATGTCTAGAATTTCTGATTCCTCCCTATTCAAGTTGGGGTGAGGTCAGAAACAGGGGTTGGGGAGCTCTGAAATGTCCCGAAGAAGAAGGGCACTCAAGATTGGGGGGTGGGGTGAGCAAAGGTGCGCAAACACCCCCACGTCAGCTCCAGCGCCAGGACAGCGTAGGCATGACTGTAGGAGCTACCATTTACAGAGCCTGATACAGGCGAGCTCAATGAGAAGGGGTCTCTGGATACGATCTCATTTAATCCTCACAAGGACCCTGGGCGGTGGGTACTAATTTTTACTGGTGTTGAGGAAAACCCCAAAGAGATTAAGTAATTGCTTCAGAGTCATACAAAAAAAGTGGCAGAGCTGGGATTAGAACTTGGCTACGGCTATAATGCCCCATCGGTCCAACCTCTTTTTGTTATATTGACTGGGGTAAAAAGATTCATTCAATAAATGTTTATTTATTTTTATTTTTTTGCAGGGGGCAGTAATTAGGTTTACTTATTTATTTAATTTTTAAATGGAGGCACTGGGGATTGAACCTGGGACCTCGTGCATGCTGAGCATGCACTCTAGTACTGAGCTATACTCTCCCTCTGATAACAAATGTTCATTGAGTCTACTGCATGCTGGGCATTGTTCTAGATGTTGGACTGGTCTAATTGGACTAGAAAAGTCTTGCTGGTACCTGAACAGCCAACTAAAGCACATTTGCCTAGATAAATGATAACTCACATCTGAGGTAACGTTGTAAGAGTTTATTTCCTGACACAAAGACATGCTCAAATAGCAAGTGAAAAAGAAGGTTACAAAACACACAGAGAAAATATGATTTATGTGAAAATTATACACTACACACACAACACTCTAGAAATAAAGTCTGGGTGGAAATACAATAAAATGTTAGCTGTGAGTTCTCTGAGTGCTGAGATTATAGGGGATTTTCATCTCCTCCTTTTTTGTACATTTGGAGATCCTAAAACATATATTACTTGTGTAATAAATAAATTACTTCAGAAAAGAGAAGAAATCGTGCTGGGGGAAAGCGAGAGCCAGTGTTGGAAGGTGTGGGTATCAGGGTACAGGAGAGTGTGAGGAGGAACCCACAGATGACGAAGGACCTGGCGCCCCAGGCTGACTGGATTCTGCCATCAGTGACGCTAAAGGAAAAGCAAAGCAAAGCTGAGCCTTGAGGACCTGGAGGTATTATTCCCAAGACCATCCCACTGAAAGCTAGAGCTTTAAGGAGGATGGAGTGAGGGTCCTGCTCGGGGCTCTGGACCTTACAGCCTCAATGAAACAGTCAGCTGCACAACACAAAAGGCACCTAAGGGGCCACCTGCACATGGCGGACAGCGTCATTATCTGCACCCTTGTTCCTGTCGTTAACTCCAAAGACAGGGAGCGCATCTGTGTGTTACATACAGCAAGGTTTCAGGCAGAGGGCTAACACATTCCTAGTTCTAACAAAATTAGCCCATATTGCAACAACTTTTTGAAGGAAACAAAGTGTCCTGCTTACAAAGCTGATAACTCTTATTCCAGTCAGAATTACACACGGGAAGCAGTTCGATAATTGAAACATTTTATCAGTCTAGCAACGTCTAACAGAAACTGTCCATTCTAAATAGTGGCTGTTTTTCTGCCTGACGTAAAACACTTTTATTTTTAAACTTAAAAAAAAAGTTCCTATTGGGTTTTTCTGCTGGCTACATTAGACACTACGGGTCATTTATCAGAATGTTACTGTTGGTTCCCACTTTAAATTTAATAAGTACTTTATTATGACACAAATCACTATATAATTGATAATATTCATTTACCATCAATAATACATAAAGTAAATATTATATTGCCATATTCTGCTTTTGTTCTTATGAAAGTTTTGTCAGTGCCAAGATTAATAAGTGCTGTTAAAAATTGGTGGCTCATTACAAGCAAAGTGTTTTAAAATGTTAAATATTCTAGAAGTCAAGAATGTCACAAGAAAGACTATTGAATCTGGTGATCATTTCCAAAGGAAATGAGATACAGGAGCAAGAAGATTGAAACTATCATGAAGAACAGTTTCTAAGAACACAACACGCGGAATTATTACTATACAAATCAATGAATCTTGGAAAATGTGAACGTTTAGGACCTCAAAAACACTATTATTTCACGTTCAACAGTGAGATCTGTGCAGCTATAGGTAGCCGTCTTCTATCTGCTGTAATGATTATTATTGAGAAATATAAACTCTGATACGAAATGGTTTTCCTTGAGTAGGAGGTGCCTCTTCCTAATTTTTGTAAATGTATCACATGCACCAAAGACAGCATTGTGTATGGTGTGTGGTGACTGGGGACTTTATAGCAAATAATCTGTGATTGACACAAGTTAAAGTGCTGCCCTGTGGGAATGACTTGCTGCTTCTGCAAACCAGGACAGACCCAAAGTTACCCCTTCAGTACCACCTTCACTCCCTCACATTCTGACAAGCTTTCCTGAGCATCTCCGGGCCTGCAGACCTGCTCGTTCTGATGTGACATTAACCACCGTGAGGGTATACGGTTGGTCCTCTGTACCCACGGGGTCCCCATACATGGAATCAACCACCGCAATGCAGTTGGTTGACTCTGAGGATACAGAACCCACTGACCAAAGGACTAGATCATCCATGGATTTGGGGATCCAAGGGGGTGGGGGTGAGGTCCTGGAACCAATCCCCCTCGGACACGCTGGGATGCCCGTATAATACTTTATTTCTCCCCAACCAATTCTAGATTTTGCCAAAATCCAGGTTGCACTCACAGGACTGCATCCTGTGAGTGTAAGTTAACATGTATCAGACAAAAAAAGACTAATAACTTCATCTTACGAAGGAGGAAAATGAAGCTCAGAATTTTGGAATGCCTCATGACGCATTTTCTTTGGCTCTGCACAGGTCTCACTTGACAACAGTCACCAGGACAACAATGCCCATAACGAGTGCCAAGTGCCATGCTGGGTGTTTTCCAACCAGTTAGCTTTGGTAAGATTCAAGGGAATTAGGTATAAAAGCCCTAATTCACAGACAGGGGGAAACTGCGGCTTGGGGGAGTGAAGAGGTGGAGCTGGCTTACACACCCAGATCTGTCCTTTACTCCAGAGCCCGTGCTTCTTCCATTATGTCTTGCTGCTTCCAGTAACCAAACAAGGATAATCTCCTTAAATGTAAGTCAGCATTCTGGACCCATGGGCAAATGTGTGCGATGCGGAAGGGGTCATGATATTTGAGACCACCGAGGACCATGATGTTTAAAAAAGGAATTGCATCGGGGCCACCTCTCCATCCCTCTCTTTGCGGGCTTTAAAAGCCCTGGAGCCTGGGCACTGGTCCGTTAGACTCTAGCTCTGACTGGGGGCAGGGTCAAGGCAGCGCGAGAGTGGGGCTCTTCACACAGGCACGGAGAGGGAGAATGAAAGGAAGAGGACAGGCAGCAACGAGAACACCAGCTCGACCTTCACCTCCGCAGCGTCTTAGCTGCTTCCTCCTCTGTCCGACTTACTGCTGCCATTTCTCCTACCGGCCCCAAAAGGTGTCCTGGTACCAGCACTGACCTAAGGGAGGGCAGGAACTTTCTCTCTGGAACTCCTCCAGTGCAATTCAACCAGTTTGGCGCTTTGTGGGCTTCCACTAGTCCTGGGTTCTAATGTGACAAAGAGTTTGTGTTTAAATGGACGTGTGTAGTTGCCTGAATTATTTCTGGAAAATGATTAGTAAATTTTCCCAGTCCCTCATTTCCAAATCAAAATTTCCTACAGTGGCATTACAAAAAAAATCTTTGTAATTATCTTTCATGGAAATATTTACCCAGTATGTTTAGCAAAGCCATAGGATTTAAAAGATAAAATAGTTCTGGGGTTTGCACAATGCAGATTCTTCTGGAAATTCTTAATACAAATCAGATGTGCTGAGAAGGAGCCACGTTTTTAAAAACTGCCAAGAGCCAGACCTTTCAGGTCAACGTCCAAGCATCCCCTGAATTCACAGAAGCCTAAATGCATGCTGCATTTCCCGCTTACTTACGCTCTGCTGCCATTGTAACCACTTGGCCTTATTTCCAAGGTCTTACCACCCAATTAGCATAATCTTCTGATAAGAAGTACTAATGGTCTACATCAGAGGACAGAACCCCTTGTCAGTGGTTTTGAGATTGTTAATTGACTGTGGACTTGACCTGCTAGAGATGTGACAGGCGCCCGCATCTTTTTTTTTTTTAACAAAACACATCTTTTAGGAATAAAACTGGAAGAGTTTAAGCTTCCTTTATAGGACTGAATCAGAATGGACTTACGAACTTGAAATTTTTACAGCCTGTGGCTTGGAGTCGACTGCTTTATGACTAAGCCTTCTCCTTACATGAACATTTGGAAAAAACCAAAAAACAAAACATACTCAGCCTGTGAAGCTGAAGTTCCTTCCTAAGCCTTGCTCAATAGAAAATAAAATTGAAGCACAGTATTTAAAAAGAGAGAATAACTTATGGTGAGTAGACATATATACAGAGAAACTGATCTCACATGCACAATACATTCTTACCCATAAAACAAGCTATTAAAATGAGCTTTCACTCATAAAACATTACTATTTAATTGTAATAGTTTAATAGGGAGTTACCATAATCCATTATAAACTAACCTCAAAGAAATATTCAAAGCATGTTTCATGAAACCAGAAAGAAAATGGTTCCTATTTCTGATGTTAGCTCAATATTAAGAAGAGTTTCTGACAAATCACAGAATTACAGCTTTTCATCCGGTCTGTGGCAGACAACACTCTTGACAAACTTAAATAATCCACCCTCATTAATTTTGAAATGGCAGCTGGAGTCCTAGAAATATCGAACGCTCTGTGGAAATTCAGAACGACTCCCCAAGTCCCCTAGAGCTGGTACTAAGCAAATTCTCAGGAATTACTTCTGTCTTCATTAGAGCTGGGAGTTCAAGGCGTCATGGTCCACCTGGACAATGACTGGTGAGAGCAGCGACCAGAGGCTG